CGTGAATGTCCAAGCCCTCAACTCCAGGGGTGGTGGCCACCCTCCGCTGGCCCGGGACAGCCAGTCACCAGCGCCTCGCTGCTGGGCCTGAGCACATGCCGGCGGAGGCTGTGTCACTGCAGACCACCCACCGCGACAGTGGCCTCAGCAGAGGCAGGTCTTTGGAAACGCAATGGCTTTGCAGTTCTCACCCCATGTAGTGGCCGTTTGCTTCCAGTCCCCAGCTGTGACGGGGAACACGAGGGACACCCAAGGAAGGAGGGCAAGGTCAGAGCAGGGCAGGGACCGGGGCTCGGGAGTCTGCTCCGTGGCCGCACTGTCCAGCCCCTGGGCCGAGGGGTGAGCCGAGGCCACGCCCCCAGCACGCCCATCCCACCCCGATGCTGGAGTGGGGCACACCTGCTGACCTCCGCACTCACCCTTCCATGGCTGCCCTCGCTGTCGGCAGGGATGCAGGGCTCACCCCAGCGCTGGCCGTGCCGCGTGGCCATCTGGAGCGCCTCGCGGCCTACCTCTGGTGAGGGCCATAGCGGTTGCCTCCCCAGGGAGTGCGTGAGTGTGCCAGCTGCCCTCTCATCCCCTGCGGGGCTCAGCGAGGCCGACATAGGCACAGCCGTGACCTGCCGGACATGGAGGCGCTCGCACAGAGGTGGCCTTGGCTGTGGGAGCTGGGCTGCCAGGAGCTCCCAGGCCCCACAAGACATGGCTAAGCTTGGCCCCTCGCCCCAAGAGGCCGTGAGAGGGCACACCGGTCGGCAGGTGCCATGGGGACTGCCCCCGCCTGCCCCTCGCAGCCCTGCGTGTGGGATGCTGGCAGCTGCTGGCTCAGCCCTGCATCCAACACTGCACCCTGGCAGTGGGGCCGGCAAAGCACCCAGGACCCCCTGGGGTGCGACCACTCACTAGAGGCCTCGCTACCCCTGGCTGAGTACCCAGTTACACCCTGCTCTTGGGTCTGCCAGGGACCTCGGCCCCCAGGATGGCAGACTCGGACTGGGTCCCGCTCAGTCTGAGCCCTTCGGTGTGGCCCTTCAGGGAGCACAGGGCTGCCCTGTGTCCTCCTGCCCCGCTGTGGCTCCACTGCCCGCAGTCTGGCAGAAGGCAAGCCCAGACCTGCTGTTGGTCTGTGAGTTGCTGGCCTCTCCTGGCCAGGCCATGGTGCCCAGAAGTCAGAGACTGTCCTGGCTCAGCCCTTCCCCAGCTCAGGCCCACGGGACAGAGGGCCAGGCCTTCCTGCCAGCCTTGGGGTCTCTCTGCTGCCTGCATGCCCCACCCACTCCCCCCACTCCCACCCCCTCACCGCTAACAGCAGGCCGGTGCCATGGCCCATGGCAGCACCACTGACCCTGACCTGGTCCTCGACAAGCTGTTAGCGTCCGTCTGCCCTCGTGGAGTGGCCTGCCCAGCCCAGCCCTGCTGTCCCTCTGCCTAGGGTGCTGGTCCCTGGCCCCATTCTCCCCATCCAGAGCGTCACTCACTGCCCCTTCCTCCAGGAAACCTGCCCAGTGGCCCCTTCACATCTCCTCCCTGGCCACGGCCACGCTGTGACTGTCCCTTCCTTTCTCAGGACACTATTGATTCCTGCAGGGTCTCCAGCTCTCTGAGAGCTGAGGGAAGATTTGATGGGTGGGCGAGCGAGTGGGAGGCCCCAGCAAAGAGCCAGCCAGCCGGAGTTGGGTCTGCCCCGCTTGGGTTCACCTGGGTCTCTCCCGCCCAGCTCTGCCTCGGAGTCCAGCATCCGCCCACCCTGGGCCAGCCGAGCCACTGTTCCGATCAGGCTGTGCCACTGGAGGGACACAGGGTCCCATGCGTCCCGTCGGAGCGGGAGGGCTTGCCGACCATGCCGGCGCGGACATGCGGAGGCTGGGATCACCCACCCACCGCACAGAGCTTGTCTCCATAATTCAGTTTAAAGCATGAAAAAGGGAGTTGATGAAATTCCGCTATCAGCGCCAAGCCAATATGCAAAATATCTCGCCCCAATCAAATAGCTATTATGTTTTCATTTCCATCTCGGCGTCCGGCGTAATGAGCAGGAGACGGATGGGCGCGCGGGCGTCTGCTCGCCGCGATAACCGGGGCTCTGGGCACCGCAGGGGCCGCACCGCAGGGGCCGCACCGCAGCCGTCATGGCCCTGACCTCGGTCTCGGCCCTGGTGCGGGGGAAGTGTGGCCCGGCCAGTGCTGGGAAGGGCAGTGTGGAGGGCAGACCTGGGCACACGCTCGTCCTGGCCTGCACCCCAGCACTGCCCCCTTGCTGAGAGCTCCTCCTTGTGGGAACTCCGTTTGCGCGTTTGCAGTGGGCGTGATGCGGTGTAGGTCGGGGCAGGTTGTACCCGCTGTCCTCTGGGTCCCCGACCTCTGCTTGGCCTTCACCCTCCACTGCCCTGAGCACCCCCAGCTGCCTGCAGGGTGCCCATCACCACCCACTGTGAGCTGAGCCGGCCCCTAGCCCCGCGCCTCTGCCCATCTGAGATGGGGATCGGAACTCTCCCTCTTGGGGCCGCGTGGCTGGGAGCGGCTGAGGGGTCCTCCATACCTGGCTGAAGGAAGGACCAGTTCGCAGCCGGGGCTTAACAGCACGTTCCCCCCCGGCCCTGGGCCCCCCGGTGGCGAGAACCAGAGGTAGTGGCGGTGCCATCGGTTGTGCCAAGCCCTGGGTGAGCCATGAGAGCGGGTCGGTGTGGGTTCCTTTGTAGCTGATGAGACAGGAGGGGCTGCCTGGGCCTTCGGCAGGGACGCAGCACGCATCTCTGCATGCCCCGCCGAGCAGTGGGGCCTCTGGACTGAGGCCTTTCCCAGCACCAGGGACCAGCAGCGGCCGGCGCACTCCCGGACACCCAGGGCCGCGTGGGGCTCCCAGGTGCCTCCCAGACGGGAGGAAGGCGCATGCACTTGTGCCTGGAGGCTGGGGCAGGCCTCGCCTTGCCACCCCGATTGCAGGCTCGAGTGAACGCTGGCCGTCACCTCCCGCCTTATCAGAGGCGTTTTACTTGTGCGTGAGCGGCCAGCAGCGCCAGGTAGGAGCGCCCACAGCCTCCTCCACGCGCATCTGCCCGCTTTGTGCCGGGCGACCATTGCTCTGTCAGTGGGAGAACCTCCCGGTGTCTGAGGCCCACCCGGGTGGAGTTCCGAGGGGCGGGCTGCCTTCCTGGGCGTCCCGGATCAGCCCAGCCCTGATGCTCCAGAGCCCTGAAGGCAGGTGCCTGCCCGTTTGCCAGAGCCGGGGCTGAGCTCCCAAAGCCGCAGCTGCTCGGCCGGAGGGGCTGCAGCTCAGGCCCCGGCAGCTCGGAGTCAGGACGGCAGGGCTCTGGTCGGGGTAGGCGGACAGCAAGAGCCTCTTGACCTTGGAAGGCAGGGCTGGCCCAGGGCTGACCCCACAAGCGAGGCTCCTGCCGAGAGTGTCCCCAGAGGACACACAGTCAGGCCTCCCACGTGTCCAGGGCACCAGTCAGCCTGGCCTGGGGTGTGCCCGGCCTGCCCGAGAGCTGCCGTGTGGGCGCATGGGTGAGACGCGCCTCAGCCCCGGGCCACTCTCGTGTGGTCCCGTGATTACGGGTCTGGGGCATCCCGGGATGGGAGTTGGGGTCCCAGGCTGCTCTAGGAAGTGGACGTACCCCTCCCCAGTGCTCCCAGGACTAGGAATCGCTTGTCCCCACAGCTGCGGAGGATGCTCCCGGGCCGGCGGGCAGTGGGCGGTGGCAGTGGGCCTGGCGCCAGGTCAGTGGTGAGCGCACGAGCAGCCCCACTCGCTGGGGTCAGGGAGGGAGGCTGAGACCAGGCGGACGCCGGGCCCACCAGTGCCCACCCTCCGCGGCCTGGCTGGCAGCTTGCTTGTGGCTGGCTGGTGGTTGTCTCAGCACCACAAGGACCTGCCCACCACCCTCCGTCCTCACCCGCCCAGAGGGAGCGTGAGGGGCCAGGCGGAGGACTTGACGGGAAGCCCTCAAAGCTGCGTGGGTTTTGGTACTCTGTGTGTTTCCGGGGCAAGGCTCTGGCCTCGGCAGACCCCTGATGCCAAGGGGGTGAGTACTGGGCAGGCCTCCACCGCCCAGGCCTGGGCTCCGAGCCCTCGGCTAGACTGCTCCACCCCACAGGTTCGCTCAGCCCTGCGGGCGCCTCTGACGGGCTCGGGGGCTCGGAGTTGTGGCCGCAGTTTCTGGACTTCCCTTGCCCACCATCCTTAGTGAAGAAGGGCGTGGCTGCTGCAGGCCAGGAGGGTCCCTGCACCGGGCAACCCTGAGTCAGGGGCTCCGCCCGTCCTTCCTGTGGAGCTGGGGACAGGCAGTGTGTAGGCAGAACCCAGGGAGGTGACAGAGCAGAGGTGGCCAGGACCCTGCTGAGACGCGAGCAGGGACCTGTTCATGTCGCGGTCTGCCTGACCTCAGGGGCAGAGGCCGTCACCTGCCTGCCACTAGGTCACCCACAGTCACTGGGCCACATGGGAGGGAGGCTCCACGAGTCTGTGGGGCCCCTGGCCCGTGCCCCGTGTGCAGACCCTGTGCAGACCCCACTGGCACGCTCATCTGGGTCCCCGGTATGTCCAAGGCACTAGGCCTATGCTGGGTTCTGGCATCTCCCTCGGGAGCTCCCACCACAGAGACGTGCCGGGCAAGCACACACAGACCAGGCCGCCAGGGGAGTCCCTGAAAGAGGGTGGGACCAGGCAGGGAGACGTCCGCTTGGCCACAGAGGAGCATTAGGGCCACCCAGTTACCACCCCAGGGTGCCACCAAGAAGCCCCGCCATGGAGGCAGGGTGTGAGGACACAGGGGGGCCTGTGGGCTGGTGGAGGTCAGGTGGCAGACAGGGGCAGGGCTTTGGGTTGCTGCAGGGGTGGGGCCACACAAGAGTGGATTGTGTGTGTCAAGTTTTTGGGGACCCGGAGGGAGCCCCCACTTGGGCTGCCCTCTAGCTCTGAGCCCCAGAGCGTGCCAGTCAGGAGGGCCAGGTGCGGGGACTTACCCTGTGCACCTGACACCTCCCGCTTATGCCTACAGGCTCCCTCGGAGACATGGAGGCCACACAGGGTACCCAGGCTGTGGGCACCAGCCTCACGGAGAGGGAAGCTACAGTGCCTGAGCCTGAGCCCGCGGGACAGCCCGAACCCCCGAGCACCCCCGGCACAGGTGAGCCAGAGTCCGCCTGCCCTGCCCAGTGCCCTCATCACCGCCTGCCCCGTGTTGGTGAGATCGGGGCACCCGTGCACTGGGAGGGAGGCCGTATGCTGCCAGCCTCCAGCAGGCGGCTCTCAAAGTCCAGCCCCTGGTGGGGCGAGGAGGGCTGCCCGAGTCACCTCAGTGAGGCAGGACTGGTTAGAGTGGGCCACGGAGCGAGCTCAGGGCAGCCCCGGCCACCTCCGCCAGGTGGGCAGGGAGGCTTTCTTCCAGCCGCGCTGCTTTCTGAGTGTGGGCCCGTCTCTGGTCTCTGTACACGGTGGGTGCTCAGTGCCCTGCACCCGCTGACAGGTGAAGGAGCAAGGCCCAGGGAGGGTGAATGCCTTGCCCGGCACACAGTTGGTGACCACCGGGTGGGGACCTGGCATGGTCTGGGACAGCCTGCCTGTCTCCATCCTCCCCTGCCTCACCATAGGGACAGCGTGCCAGGCAGGGGCACCAGTACGTGCAGGCCCTGCAGAGGGGCAGGGTGGACCGCAGAGAGGCTGGGCAGGGGCACCAGTACGTGCAGGCCCTGCAGAGGGGCAGGGTGGACCGCAGAGAGGCTGGGGCAGGTGCTGGGGCAGGGCGGGGTCCTTCTCCTCCCTCGGCATTTCTCCGACAGCATCAGGGTCCTCACTGGGATGGCCACGGGCCCAGAAGACCCACGGCCTTGCCCACAGACCCGGGCACCTCTGCCCCAGGGGTCCTGCCCAGCCTCTGGCTGCTGGTCACTATGGCATTATCTGGCTGCCGTTGCCTGGGGGTACAGCAGGGCTCGCCCGGCCTGTCCCCAAGATGTGCCCTTGGCCACTCCGAGCCTCAGTTCCTGACCTACGCCGGGCGCAAGCCCCTGCTGGGGGAGCAGGAGCCGTCCCACCCCCAGCACGTTACTGTCGGGCTGCCGGGGCCAGCGATGGAGGGGGCCTCGCGCCCAGAGCCTGCCAAAGGGCAAGTGGCCGCTGCCGGTGGACTTTGGCCCTGTGGCTTTCCAGGGAGCCGGCCCTTATCTGATGTGGGAGCCTGGCTGCGGGGGTGGGCAGGGAAGGGGCTGGAGCAAACAGCCATGGCTGCACCTGGCACAGCCGTGCGATAAGGCCGATGGGCCTGATAAGGGCACAGGAGCAGTATCTGCCGCCCGCGGTCCGGCTCCCTCGGGGTGCCTGGGGCTCAGAAGCCAGCCACTTTGATTTATAGCCAAAAATAATAGGACTTTTATACTGTGCGATTGATTTATTTGATGTTAATCGCAGCCCTTATCGCGGTATTAATAATCTGCGGGCGTGTGACGTCACCAAGGGGCTTTCTGGGAGCTCATCGATTGGGGCCGAGGCGGCTATCAGACCCAGCTAGGAAGGTAAATACGCCCTTTGGGCTGGGACGGGGTGCGGGGCCGGTGCAGGGCGGCCACTGGCGCTGAGGCCGTGAGCACCCGCTGGCCAGGGCTGGCCACCCCCCGCAGTAACGGCCCCGCCTGGCCGTCACCTCTGTAGCAGCTAACAGTGGTGAGGGGCTCCAGAGGCCAAAAAGGAGAACCAGGGTGTCCCCCCTCCAGTGACAACGAGCAAGCAGGTGACCACCCTAGGCCGCAGGACCCTCCTGGTACAGGCAGGGGTGGCACGGGGTGACAGTGTCCTCTCTGCAGATACCAGTCCACCCTCGCCACCGCCCGCCATGTCCCCAGGAGGCTCCGAGGAGATGGAGGGTGAGGAGCCTGAACCAAGGCCTGCGAAGGAGGCGGCAGAGGACAACGAGGAGGAGGAGCCAGGTAGCTGCTGGAGTGGCCCAGGTAACTGCATGACTCTGGACAGCCGACCCAGGGCCTGGGAGCCAGGCTGCCCTGGGCATCTGAGTTGTCCAATCCAAAACCCAGCCAGCTCGTGCATCCGGCAGCCCTGCAGAGGCAGGCCCTGCGTTGTGAGGAATGCAGCACTGGAGGACTCCCTGGAGGCGGGGTCTGATCTGGGCTGGGAGTGGCCAGAGTGAAGGCGGCAGAGAAGGAGTGGCCGTGCCTGCAGCAGCTGCAGCCTGCCCACTGGGCCAGAGCGTGTCTGAGGGCAGCACCCTGCTCGTCTGCAGCTGCCGTGGCTCCGACTCAGGTTCGCACATGCACAGATGCGCTCTCCCCACGCCGCTCCCTGGGACCGCGCCACTCCATCATTGGTGAACGTGGGAAGGCTGGGCGGCGAGTCGTGCCATTTCTAGCACCTAATGCTGCCTGAGGGCGTGGGGTGACATTCCGGGCTGCCATCGAGGGAGGGCAGCCACCGGCGTGGGCACGCCCAGACCATCTGCTGGGGCCCGGGCCAGAATGCACAGCCCCCGCGGTGTGACAGACAGCGAGCTTGGTCTGTGGAGAAGCAGGCTGTGGACATGGCACGTGGTGAGGGCCTTCCCTGGCTGGAGGGCCAGGGAAGCCTTCCCCCAGACAGAGGGACCCCACACCTCCTCCAGGCAGCCCCCAGGTCACGAGAAGCAGTTGAAGAGGCATCAGAGATGGTCACGTGGCTATTTGGCAGCTCCCCGGGGAATGGGGCGGAGAGTTCAGGGATCGGCTAGTGATGTCTGCCCCGTGCCGAGGGAGGCATGGTGGCACGTGTGTGGTCGGCTCCCCGCCCGCTGCCACAGCCCTTCCCACAGCACGGCCGGGAGACCAGGAGCACCGTGGCCTCTCCCACGGGGCTGGGCTGGGGGCTGCCGGGGTGCAGGTCCTGGGACAGGCAGCCCCGAGGCCTCAGGGTACCCTCTACCCCTGAAGGAAATGCCGTCCAGCACCCACCCTGTCCGTCGGCCCATGTGTCAGCCTCATGCCAGCCCCAGAGGTTGTGCCCCAGCTCTGTGGAACCAGAGTCCCAACAGGGTGAGAGGCCGCGTCTAGGCCGCCCGCTCAGGAGTTTGGGCTGTGGGTCGATGGGGTCCACTTGACTGTCCCCCCAAGTCAGCTCCCCAGCACGCCACGGTTTTCGGACCCCATCCCTGCTTTTCAGGTGGGAAGCAGCCCCTCGGGGTCTGGGGACTGACCCCAGCGGCTCAGCTGTGGCTTGGAGCTTCCTGTGCGGGCGTCCTGGGTGGGGGTGCCCTATCGGCGCCCGCAGACGGCGATTGCTGGGCCATGGACGGCGATGGGCGCGCCCCGCCCACCCGCAACGGCCTCCGCCTATCACCCCGCACAGGCCCTTATCGCTGCCGGGAAGCTGGGCGGCCGCGGGCGCTTATCTCTGGGGCCGCCCGTGCCTGCGATGGGTGTCAGGGCCTCGCGGGGCCTGCAGGGTCAGGGCCCCAAGGACAGTGCCCGGCCTGGTGCCCTGCGGGGGCCCGGCTCGCTTCCTCCGGCCCTCCGGCCCTCTGCTCCTTGCCAGCACCTAGTCCCGTGCGGCCTGTGTCTCTGGCTGTGGCTCTGGGGCTCCCTGGCCCGGCCCGCCCCGCGTGTTGCTTGGAGCCAGCAGCCTGGGCTTGCAGGGCAGGGGAGCGCTGTGCCTGCTGGAGGGCCGGCTGGCCGCAGCTTTGCCAAGCACAGCGTGTGAGCTGCCCTCGGCTGTTGTGGGACCCTGCCTGGCTCGACCTCATGTTCGATGTGGTGGGGCCCAGGGTCCTGGCACCTCTCCAGGTCGAACTTCCCGGCCCCACTTCAAGCTCAGAAAGCAGGAGGTGACTGGCAGGCCGGCCAGTGCCCTTCAGGATGCGGGGGGTCGGTATCAGGGCCAGGCTTGAGCCAGGGTCCTCTCTGACGCAGGGACAGCCACCTCAGGGCACCCGTTGGTGTTGTTCCCTTGACATGCCTGGCCAGGGCACGAGAAGCAGTCGAAGAAAGAGGCTGTAGAGGAGAGAGGGCACTTAGACTCTGAGCCTCCCGTGCAGCCAGATCTTGTGCAGGCTCCACCCCCTGGGAGCCCTCCAGAGTCACCCCCACCTCCCTCTGCAAACTTGCACAGAACCAAGCAGAGATGGGCCCCGAGACGTGGCCCCGAACGCTCACTGCCTCGCCCCTCCTCTGGCCCCACATCTGCCCGTCACCCTGGCGGCTGGCCCGTCTGGGAACAGCATGGCACTGACCGCGGCCAGAGAGCAGGCCGGGCCCGCTGCTCAGTCGGCCCTGCCCGTGCTGGCTGCTGTCTGCAGCCAGGAGCAAGGTGGCCTGCCGGCACTGGGGCTGCGGCGGCACAGGGCAACCAGGCCCCCGGTGGCCCAGTCAGAGCAGCAGGACACAAGCTCTCCTTCACCCTGACGAGTCTTGGGCCGGGAGCTCTTTCCTCTTTTTCTGCTCTCCAGTGGGGTCAGCCGGCCAGGGCCGGATGAGTGAGGGGACCTCTGGGAGGGGAGGGCCCAGGGCACCTGCAGGCCACCCTAAGGGCACTCTCCTGACACGCCGCATGCCACGGCAGCAGCACACTCGCACCCTGAGTGTGGATTCGTGGCCTGACCACACCCTCAGCCACCTCAGGACAAGGCAGGGCCTCAGCCGGCCAGGGTGAAGGTGAGCAGGTGAGAGCTAGCATGGGAGCAGCTGCGGGGATGACGTGGGCAAGCCTCCCCACTGCAGTGCCCTGAGGGCACTGGGGGGACCCCAGACTGCAGCCAGGCCCTGCAAAGAGGCCTCACTGGAGCCGAGCTGGGGAGAGCACAGGGTGGGGCTGGCCTGGCCACGCCTGGCACTCATGAGCCTGCCCACGTGCAGTGGGGTCCACCTGCACCCCTGCCGGGGATGGGGGTGGCTGAAGTCCCTCCTAGAACACCCTCACATACCCTGCTAGGGGCGGAACCGGGCTCTCCAGAGCTGGGACCCAGAGAGGGGGTTCCCCGAGGCCCGGGGTCCAGCATCAGGCTCTGGCATGAAGTCCACAGCTGTCCCAGCCTGGGGCGTGGATGAGAGGCAGGGACATAGACTAGCTGGGGACCCAGGCGCCCAGCACCAGGGGATGTGGGGTGGGCGGAGTGGCCCTCTGTGTGCTGCCCGTGGTCCTGCCAGGAGCCCGGCAAGCCAGTACCCAGTCTGGAGAGCAGGTCCTGTGCGGTGAGGGGCTTGGCCAGGGTGGGGTTGGGGGGGTGAGGTGGCCTCTAGGCCCCGCCCTGGGTGTGACACACATCTGCTCCAGGTTTGGCCATTTGACGGTCAGGGCCTTGGAAGCGGGGTCCCCTTGCTATAAGTGTCTCGGCCACTCCGATGACACTGGACACTGCTGATGACCCAGTGCAGTCCAGCTGGCCAGACACCTAGTGCTGCTCTTCCTGTCCTGACCCCAGCTCAGGCCCCACAGGCAGAGATGGGCAGGCCGGCCATGTCTCCAGGGCCCTGCGGTCCTGGGGGAGCGTCCCCAAGCTGAGGCCTGGACAGAGTGGGCCAAGGGCACTGGGGCAAGGCACGGGCAGAGGGCCTGAGGGCCACTCGGTACGCTGCGGGTGGCCGGCGCGTCAGGGTCTGGGTAGAGGCGGAGCGGGGCGCAGGGTCTGGCCTTAACACCACCGGTCATGAGCAGGTGCCTCAGCTGTCCTCCGAAGGCCTTGGGAGGGCACTGCTGGCTGAGGGCAGCTTCCCAGGGGGCCGGGGGCGCAGTGTCCTGGCAGTCCCCCACCCCGGTCCTGAGGGCCTCAGGAGGCCGGGGATCGGCCGGAGTGCGAGTGAGGATGGGCTGGTTATCTGGGCCGGGCCGTGTCTGGCTAATCTCGCCAGCAGTTTCTGAGCAAACCTCAGGGCTCCTTATCGGGCAGCGGGCGGCGGCCAAGGCGGGACGGCCCGTGACGGACAGCCGGGAGATGGGCCGATAGGCGGCGTGGGTGGGAACGCCATCCCGGCTCTTCTGTTATCGCAGGGCCCTATTTGTCTTAGATTCGTGGGCGGGGAGGGGCGCTGGGGGATGGCGGGGTCAGCCTGGGGTCGGCTCCAGAGCCACTGCTGTGCCAGGAGCCCCCTCTGCACGTCGTCCTGGGGAAGGCCGCCTTGTCCCCAGCTGCTCCAGCTCTTGGAGGGCCGCGTTCCTCCGAGGTCCCTATGTCCCACCTCCCACAGGGCAGAAGGGGGACGAAAAGACGGGCACCCTCCCTCCCCCGGTGTTCCTGGGCACCGGCTGTGGCCAGCTGGGGACACAGGTGCTGGGGACGGCCCTGCGCCCTGGGAGGCATGGGGTGGGGAGCGCCACCACAGCAGGGGCGTCCGACGGGGAGTGGGTGAGGGCAGAGGCGACCCTTCCTCAAGCGAGGAGCCAAGCGGGGACTATCAGGTGGAGGCCATGAAAGAAGGTCCAGCAGGCCCGGCCAGACCAGCGGTGGGCTGCCCTCGGGACCTCCGCAGCAGGGCTCTGCTGGCTGGGGCTGCGCCGGCCCGAGGCCCGGGTGCCGAGCCGTGCCCCTTCACTATGGAGCCCTGAGCCCCCAGCTCCACACCCCACATCGCTGGCCCCAGTGCAGCGGTCAGCCGTTCTCCCCCAAGGTGCTGACTGCCGCCCGCGCTGGCCCTGGCTGGGTGGGGGCCTGCTCTGACTTTGACCTTCACCCCACAGAGGCACCGGGGCCTCGGGGTGCAGAGACTGGGAACACTGGACCCCACCCATCATGCCACCCACTCCCTCCCTGGCACCTTCACACGTGGCCCCCTGCTGCATGTCAGCCCACCGTGGACACCCGGTGGAGCAGTAGAGGGGCCAGCCAAGGAGACCAGGGCCTTTACACGTCTGCAGAGCCCGGTGGGCGGGGGGGCCTGCACTGCCTGGGGCAGGGCCCCGCATGGCCGGCTCAGTGAGCAGAGGGGCAGGCAGCGGGGCAGGGCCTGGGCGGGCTGGGCAACCTTGACACTTG